ATTTTTTAGGTATCACAGGCGAGAGTACTCTGCGGATGCACCGAAGTGGGTGTCTATTGAGGTCGAGAAGTAAAGATGCAAAAATGCAATGTTAAGGATTACTTATTACCTCGTCATAGAAAATATTGTTCTGAAACTTAAGCTTTTTAAAAATACATCTAAAGTCTGCAATAAAACGTTTACTACGACTGTATGTGCACCACCTGTCAGCAGTGCCTCATCGCATCAGAACTGTCGGCATTGAGTTTTTTCTTGGTATTTATCTGACAGTACAAGGAAGAGTCCTACGGGTAACTGCTTCCTTTTGTGCTCAAGCAAACGTTTCGTTTTGCACAGTTCTTTTTTTGTTCTATAAAATTAAAACCTAAAATTTCAGTAATTAATGTGACAATATTTGTACAATTATATACGGACAAGGATTTATTCGGTGCAGGTAAAACTACAATACAGAAGTAATTGCGATAAATCTGCCTAATAGACAAATTAAAGTTGCCTTCTCTTTTTTCCTGTCATTTTTGCATATCTATTTGTTGTTCATGAAAATAAGCACAAAAGCCAGAGCATGTACCGTAAGTCTTTCGCTAGCCTTCCCTTTCATCGTTCGCAGTACCGAACAAAAAAGAACAAACCAAAAATTTCTAGGTATTTTCGATATTTCGATTTAGTATAAATAATCCAACACTAAAAGCAGAGATGTTGGGTAAAACAGATAAGAAATAGGTCATTGCGAAAAAAAAGTAGTAATAATAACAATATTAGTAAGGATAATATTAGCAACACTAATATTAATTCTAATCTTAATGTTAATACTATTACAGGTAATCATATTAATATGATATCAAATCTAATCAAAAAAATAAAAAATATAAAGATAATAATTATAGTGGTAATAGTAATAATAACAGTAAGAATCATAATATAATAATAATAATAATAATAATAATAATAATAATAAAGACACGCTCCAGCCCAGTATTTTCAGCTAACCTGCATTTTCAACAGTTTATATGATACGTAATACAATTTAGCACTTATAACGTTTTCTTAGAAATCTACCAGAATTTCTCTAACACCTCCTGTAATAA